GTCATGAATGCTGTTCCTCTGTGATTACGCACGACGGAGTGCCATGTCGAAGAACGATCTGGTCCATAACAAATTGGGCGACGTCAGAAGCCGTAGCACGTGTTAGTGCCTTTGTTTCAGCATACTTCGTCAAACAGTCGGCGGCCATTACGATCCTTTTGTCCGGCAGATGATAGCAGAAAGGGCCCCAGTAAGTCCATTCCTATTTGATCAAATGGCGCTCTGGGTAGTTCTATTGGTTGAAGAAGCCCCGCGGGCTTCAGTGGCGGGGATTTGCGGCGTTGACATTCCCGGCAGCTTTTCACGAATCACTTAACGGATGCAGAGAGCTTAGCCCAGTAGTAGGCTTGTCGAACTCGAGCGAGATTTCGAGACGAGAGTTCGAGAGGAACCTAAGTGACCAGATGTGGGCTCATCGTGGCAGGCAAGAAGAATGTCGTCACGCATTGCAGTTGACACAACTAGAAGATAGGTTCTCTCATTGTCGTTGGAGTTTTTTTATACAGGACCCCATTTCGCAGACATAACGACGACATATTTTGAGAAATACATCGAGGTATGGAAGAGTTGCGTCCTTCAAGGTTTTCGATAACTGCTCGAATTTCATTGTTCGGGCACTGTTGTGTAATCAGATCTGTTGTAGTAAGGGCCCCAAGGAAACCACCGTCATCCTCAGTGTCGTGGCCACAAACTTCGACAGATGCACGGAATAATGAATCAGCATCTTCGTGCTTGCGGCCCGATTCGTAAGCGATCGTGAAATCGTATTCCTGCAGACGAAGACTCCATCGCGCCAGTCGCCCACACGGGTCCCATAGGTTGGCTAACCAGCGCAACGAATGATGGTCAATAACTACCTTAAAGTGGCGTCCGTAAAGGTAAGGCCTAAATTTCATCATGGCCCATACAACAGCGAGGCACTCTTTCTCTGACGTGGAGTAGTTGACCTCGCTACGGGAAAGAGTGCGGCTAGCGTACGCTGTCACTCGCTCTGTGCCCTCTTGTTGTTGTACGAGGACAGCACCAAGACCCACGTTGCTGGCGTCAGTATGAATTTCAGCATCAGCGTCATGGTCAAAGTAAGCGAGGAGTGGTGGTGTCTGCAAACGCTCCTGTAGTTCAGAGAAAGCTGCATCCTGTTCATCCTCCCAGACGAATGGAACATCTTCACGAGTGAGTCGAGTGAGTGGTTCAGCAATCCTAGAAAAATTGGCTATAAAGTGGGAATAGTACGCGCAGAGCCCTAGCAAACGATGTACTGCCTTTTTATCACGTGGAACAGGAAACGAGGCCACCGCGGTACTTTTGTCTGGGTCTAGTCGAATACCATCCGCACTGACAACATGGCCGAGAAACCTTAGTTCCTTGTAACCGAAGTGGCATTTTTTTTGGCTTCAGTGTCGGGTTAGCAGAGCGGAGCTTCCAGCACATTCGGCAGACGCTTCAGGTGCTCCTCAAAGGTGGCAGAAAACACGACATCATCATCCAGATAAACTAGGCACGTGTGCCACTTACGACCGGTAAGAACAGTGTCCATCATTCTCTGGAATGTTGCAGGTGTAGAACAGAGGCCGAAGGGAAGCACTTTGGATTCATATAGGCCATCCAGTGTAACGAATGCGGTTATTCACGATCTCGTTCATCAACTTCGATCTGCCAGTAGCCACTTTTCAAGTCTATCGATGAAAATTACTTGGCCCGCTGCAGTCTGTTTAGGGAATCGTCGATGCGGGGCAGCGGATAGATGTCTTTTTTAGTCACGCTGTTGAGTTTTCTGTAGTCCACGCAGAAGTGCAGTGATCCATCTTTTTTCTTCACGAGCACGACTGGAGATGACCAGGCACTCTTCGAAGGTTCGATAACGCCATCTTGCAACATCTCTTTGACTTCAGCATTTATCACGTCACATTCCTTCGTCGAAATGCGGTAAGGGTGTTGTTTTATGGGCGAGGTGTCGGTATACGGAATTATTCTGTGTTGGCGATCGGTGTCTGACGAACCTTTGAGGTGGACGCGAAGCACTTTAAAATGATATAGCAGTTCACGTAGCTCGCTATGCTGTTGTTCCAAGAGGGTCGAGTTGACATCAACTTTTGCAAGTAGTGAAGTCACGTCGCTTGGTGTCGGTCGAAGCCCGTTGTCGGCTGATGTAGATGCGAAGCATTCAGAAACGTCTGCGGTGGGGTAGGCGAAAGCGATGGCGGTGTCACGAAACAGGTGCTGGTAGTCGTTACTGAAATTAGTCACAAGTAGGGCAGAGTGTCCGTCATGAAGCGTGATGAGGCTGCGTGCAGCGCGAACAGAAGCGTCAAGTTTCCTTTGGCGACAACCTCACCATCCGGTAACTTGTCAGACACTACATCAACTAGGACGCTTGAACGCAGAGGCAATAGGATGCTGTCGGCAGAAACGGGAAGCATGCTGTCACGGATGTCGTCATATTTGTCGGAGGATTCTGCTGTGGAAAACGTCACGGTACGCTCTTCAAGATCGATAATAGCGCTGTGCTCCCTCAAAAAGTCGACTCCCAGGATTAGGTCTCCAGAACAGTCACGAAGTACGAGGCAGCTGGCGAGAAACATACGTCCCCAAATGCTCACTGTGATAGTGCACATGCTGATATGGGTGACTACGTGCCTGCCGGCAGTACGAATTTGTGCTTTGTACCAAGGCGTAACAACTTTCTTTATGTGCGCTGCTAGTTTCCTGCTTATTATCGAGTAGTCTGCACCTATGTCCAATAATGCAATAACGTTGTGGTGACCATTGACTACCACATGGATATTCTAAGAAAATCTGCTTCTGGCTTTCGTCGCTGTCGTCGGGGAATCGCTCCGTGTCTGTGCTTGCGTCGGTGGGAGGCCTTGCTTGCGTCGAGTGTCAGTGGCCTCGCTCCCGTAGGCAGCTGTAGTTAGTTTTCCCGCCTAGGGCTTGGCGAGCGCACCGGCGCCGCCCCTGGGAAGCTCCGAAAATTTGAAGATCGCCTTGGGGATGGGGACCGTGACTGCCGCCGCAGTGGCATGCGCTGATATCAGAGGTAATCTTCAATAGCGCTCGGTCTTTCGCCGAATCTCGGCCGTGGTGCGTTGACAGCAAAGCCCTGTAGTTCGAGGTGAAGATAGCGACATTCCCGGTACACATGTACAGCTTCACCACAGTGATAGCACAGTGGTCATCTGTCCGGTGTGCACCATACGTCGGATTTTCTGGGAAGCGGCTGTCGATTTTTAAGTGCTGAATTGGCTGCAGCGAAGGAAGTGCATCCTGTGGCATAGGATTAACGAAGCCCGGTGAAGCAGGAGTATATCGGCTGACAGCTTCTGCGTATGATGCACGATGTGGCTCCGTCGGGACATGGAGGACATAGTTGGAAGGCGGCACTTGGAGAGCCTGTCGTACTTCGTTTCTGACAAGGCTGCATATAGACCCTGTAGTAGGTTAGGACTGGCACTGGATCTTCCTAGTTCATCACGCACCACCGATCGAATGAAATCACCGAGAGAGTCGATGTTGATGTTGCTTGCCGCACCTACGATCTGACCTATTGACGAAGCGGCACTCACTTGCCGGTCGTACACAGTAGAGCACTGCTGCAGCACTTGCACCATGGTTGTAGCTTCGCTCCGAAATTCCGCCACGGTCTTTGGGGGAGAGCGAACGAGGCCAGCGAAAAGCTGCTTCTTCACTCCTCGCATTAAATGACGGACCCTCTTTTCTTCTGCCATGTCGGGGTCAGCTCGACGAAAGAGGCTCGTCTTGTCCTCGACTTACATCGTGACACTTTCGTTCGGCATTTGGAGGCGCGACTGAATCGCTCGCTCGGCTCGTTCACGGCGATCTGGATTGGCCCAACTTGCCAGCAAGTATCCACGAAAGAGGCTTCACGAGGGAAAAGGCTCATGTTTTTCGTACCAAGTACGAGCGCCGTCCTCCGAGCTGAAATACACGTTCCTCATTTTGTCGAAGTCGGTCCAACTATTGTAATCCGAGACCCGTTCGAACTGAGCCAGCCAGTCTTCGACATCCTCTAAGACAGAACCGTGGAACACCCTCGGCACATGTGGCTTTCACAGCGTATGAGGCATGGCTGCAGTGCTTTCCTGTGCGTTGGAGACTGCAGCGCCTTCCATAGCGTTCGAGGGTGTGACAGACGTCATCTCGGGAAGAGGTCCACGCTCAGGTGGTAGTCCTCGGAGTCTTCGGCTTTAGCAGCGTACAGGTGTTGTCACTGCAGGTACAGGGCTACCTGGAGGTGTTTGGAACATCGGCTGGGGGTTACCCAGCAGCCCCATCAGTGTTCACGTGCTACAGAAGGTCTTTAACTTGAAAGAACTGAGCCGGCAGGGAGACGCACCGAAAACTGGCAAGATGGCTGCTTCAATAAACAACAACTAGCCAGAGCAGGCGCTGCCTCAGGACATCGTCTTTCATTCTCGCGGGCAGCCATGGCTTGCGCTCACCGTAAGTAGCGGCCAAGTGGCAATATAAACAGTTGCTGCGGTAGTGCATAAATGTGTATTGTTTGTTTTTAATTTTACACATTGCATTACATAAATATAATTCACTCATATTTTTTTATTATGCTTTATGTGTTGTAATAGAAAGTGGTAATTTCTGTGCAGTGTTTTGTGAATACTTCTCCGCAAACAGAACTTCAGTAAGCAGTTTAATGGGCTAGTTTTGTTTGTGCACAATGAGACACTTTCGACGTTTGCAATATACTTAGCAATTGAATGAGAACTAAATTCTATTCTACTTTCTGGCACACTGTGTTCGTATGTGTTGACCATAGAATTTATCCGCAGCCAGATGGCAAATATTGTAATACATGCTGTGATGGTGCCCTATTGGCACAGTAGTAGCCTTAGTGAGATGAGGTGGACATCAATATATTTTGCATGCACAGCTGCCCATGTGTATTGCCTGCTGCTGTAGTGCGGTTCCATGTAGTGTGTCACACATAATTTGCATTGCTTTGTGGGCTCTCAATGGCTTTTCAGGCTCCCTGTCCTGTGTCTCTTTGGAACGGTCTTCTCCACTGGCATCTGTACGAAGCCGACTTCATTCCTGCCAGCAGTGCACCTATGTGACCGTGGACAAATCAACTATGAACAGACACCTTCCGAAACACATGGGCGAGCCCCCCTTCCATTGCCGCTTTTGTCCAGCTGCATTCATGTACAAGTCCAAGCTTGGGGCTCACTTGTGCACCCACACAGGGGATCGGCCCTTCCCCTGCGCCTTCTGCAGTGCATCTTTTTCGATAAAAAACCACCTCGATGAGCACATGCGCATTCACACAGGAGAGAGGCCATTTTCCTGTGTCTATTGCAATGCATCTTTTGTAGAGAAAACCACCCTCGTATGCCACCTGCAAAAACACACAGGAGAGCGTTCGTTTTCTTGCATCCACTGTGGTGCGTCCTTTGTGCAGAAGAGCAACCTCATAAGACACATCCGCACGCACACAGGAGAGCGTCCATTTTCCTGTGTCCACTGCAATGCTTCTTTTGTACAGAAAATCCTTCTCAAGAGGCACATCCGCAAGCACACTGGAGAGCGTCCATTTTCCTGTATCCACTGCAATTCTTCTTTTATGTACAGAAGTTCCCTTTCGAACCACATCCTCAAGCATACTGGAGAGCGACCATTTTCCTGTGTCCACTGCAATGCGTCCTTTCTGCAGAAAAGCCATCTTGTAAGACACGTGCGAAAGCACACAGGAGAGTATCCATTTTCCTGTGTCCACTGTAATGCATCTTTTGCAGAAAAAAAGGACCTCACAAGACACATGCGAAAGCACACAGGAGAGCGTCCATTTTCCTGTATCCACTGCAATGCATCTTTTGCAGAGAAAAAGGACCTCACAAGACACATGCGAAAGCACACAGGAGAGCGTCCATTTTCCTGTGTCCACTGTAATGTGTCCTTTCTGCAGAAAGGAAATCTTGTAATACACGTGCGAACGCACACAGGAGAGCGTCCATTTTCTTGTGTGCACTGCAAAGCATCCTTTATAGAAAAAAAGAACCTCACAATACACGTGCGAAAGCACACAGGAGAGCGTCCATTTTCCTGTGTCCATTGCAATGCATCTTTTGCAGAAAAAAAGAACCTTACAAGACACATGCGAAAGCACACGTGAGAGCATCCATTTTCTTGCATCCTTTGTGTAGAAAGCCTCCTCGTAAGACATCTGCATACATATTTAATGGTGGCCCTGTTTTTGTTTCTACTGTAATAAATACTTTTTGGAAGAGATCCTCATGAGACACATCTGCCTGTACAGATGAGTGAATCCATTTTCCTGTGTTCACTGCAATGCATCATGTTCAGTGAAATGCGAACTCATTAGAGACATGTATACTCAAGGAGGAAAGGGTCCCTCGTCTGTCCACAGTAATGTATTCTTTTCAATAAAATTCCACCTCATTGGGCACACGCGCACCAATGAAGCAGAGCGGCCCGTTTCTTATATTCACTGCTACTCACCCCTTTTCCATAGAAGGTCACCTGATCGAACACATGCATACTCACCATAGGTCAACGAACCCTCTTGAGCCAACTCACAGACTCAGATCGAGCGGCGAGTCTGAGTGAATCTGCATGAGTAATATTTTTGTCAGTTTGACTCCGAGTGCGTCTCGCTGAAAAAAATTTTGTCGAGGTGAGTCAGAATGACTTTAGCTCAAGAAAATTTCAGGTACTTGGAGTGTGAACGAGTCCAAAGAGCAAGATGTATTTTTGAAGTGACACTGATGGAGTTCCACTTCTCATTTTTGACCTATGGTCATATATACTCATTTTCAATGCTAATCTCAGCCTTATCAAGATTCACGTTTATGCTGACCTCTACTTGCATACGAAAACAGTTTCATTCATACACAATTTCAATATTTATTGATTAGAGGCACGAATTACGTAAGGGAAGGCTCTGACCCCCCCCCCCCCCCAACTCTTCCAAGGCAGTTTTTGATTTTTGATAAGTACATCTTGGATTGTTATCTCTTTCAAGAAAAAAGACCTTACTGGTGTATGAGCACTCATAACACTTATTTGAAGACACTATACCAAAAGCACAAAAAAGATAGCCTATTATGTGAGATATTGGTGTTATAGAGCATTGACATCGTGGTGAAAAAACATTATTCTACACTCTTGGTCAAATCCTGGCTAGAATACACGCCAGCTGGCAGGAAATTTGGTCAAATTATGGTTGCTCCTAGTCAGTTCGTTACACGGCTCCCTAGCAGTGTCCCACAGGAAGCGGCCCTATTCCTAATGGCCTTCAGAATATGCGGGATTCTAGGTCAAATTTTCTGGGGCTAAGTACGGCCTGTGGTTACAGGTGACACTTCAATAAGCGGCCTGGCCTTGATGCGAAAAAAGTTTCTTTTAAATTTTCGTGTGCATTTTCTTGCTGATATCGCGGCGAATCTTATGGCTACAGGTAATTGGACAGTATCACGTCAATCTACACCTGCGAAATTAACATGCGAAGCACCCGGAGCTTAAATCGAACTTGGGACCACATGCACGCGAACCAGATATCTTACCTATTAGGGAGCCTACATGACCGTCATGTAGGCTCCCCATTACCTATTGCACCACAGCGCCACCACATGAAGGTGAGGGTTTTTTTTTTTTTTTTTTGGAGGGGGGGGGGGGGGGGGGTTACCAAGTAGTTTGCGAATCGTCGGGAAAAGCTGTAACTTTTTTTTTCAAATGCATTTTTTTGCGTGTGTATTTGGTCAGGGAATAGTTTGTACAACTTTATGAATGCGAGACAACCACGGTGAGCGCTTACGGCTCGGACTTCGGTTTGTGGTGCGCCGTTCCGCAAGAACAATTAACTTGTGTTTGTGCGTCGTTTTAGTGCTTCCCTATAAAGCTTGGGTGTTTCACTCACCGAGAATTCGCAGACACCTGCACGTCGAGGCTATCTTGAGGTCTCGAAACCTGCGTATGTTTCTCGCACATGTGTTCTCTGTGGGCGATTTCGCCTATTTCTGTTGCGAGGTACACGTGTGTGAGTGTGACATCAGCCTGTTTGAAGACAATCCGCTTTCGCACGTTAACTTTACATGGGTATTTTGGTGGGCCTACTCTAGCATTTCCATTTCATGTACTCTAACTGCGGCGAGCTGCATGCTAGGCCAGCAGCGCTTTTTTAGCATTTTAGGATTGTTTATTTCTGCAATTTGCATTTATGCACACTATCTCACGATATACAGTAGCTTTCATTCGTTTTCAGTCTTTAATTAGCTTGTTTATAGGCAGTAGTTACTCTTACCTTTTTGCAGCATCAAACCGCTGTACGAGTGAATGCCAGAACGCAGGGTCGAATGTGACGTCCACAAATTAGCAGTGATGGAAGTGCTGCTCCAATTGCTACAAACTTCTTCACAAGAAAAATGTCGCTCCAATGTGCAATATTCGCTAGTACTTGCTTTAAACCTGCTCCCAAATGGTGTTGGGAATTTAAAAGCAATGAATTTGAACCATGTGACTATCCAGTGGGCCTAAACAATACACAAAGCAGCTGTGTACACGCTCATCTGAGTATGCTACTTGGTGATGTAAATCCAGAAAAACCACAAGGCATCAGGCCATGGTGGCCATTTTTTTTAATAGGGGTTGTATCTTCATTTACATAAGAAATGAAAGGGTTGCAAAAAGGTTGCCCAAAAAATAACAATGCGGAACTAGCCGTCGTCGGTGTAAGTAGACAAGGCCTGCATGAACGCTTTGCCTATCGAGGTACACGGAACCCCACTGTACTTGCCAGAGCATGCAATCGGAACACCGATCGCGTCCTTGCTGCACCCACTCGGTGCTAGCTTCAGCTCTGCATCTGGCGTCATACTAGGGAGCGTTCCTGTGGGATGCAGATCGTGCATAGCAAAGACGCCGATGTGCATGCCTTGCATGTGCTAGCAGATGCCCTGCAGTTCCCCATTCCTCGAGAGGCAAAGTGTTTACGCTGGTCTGCATGGGCAGATGTCACCTACTTAGTGCGTATGGCTACGGATAGTGTGCCACTGTCGTGGAAAAGCAACGTTTTCACGGCCACTCTGAAAATCATGCTTTGAAATAAAATTTTTTAAAAATTGGCCCCATATCTGTTTGTTACACTGCAAATGTCGTCGAAAGACGACAGTCTTGCGTCTGGAGAGAGTGAACAAAACGTTTATTTGATGTTCTGGGCAAAAAAAAATCAGTGAATGGTATTCTGGAGGCACTGCGTTAGAGTTCCTCGAGCGTGCAACGGAGGCGAACGAGCGCGTCAAGTCACATCACACGTGAGACATGAGCGCTATCTGGCAGTTACCCTGGAAAACGAAGCGCGTGACGTGCGCACCCGCCTCTGAGGTGATAAGGTTCAGAACGCAAGTTGATGGGTAGGTGCCACTGCCGTATTATTTTAGCAAAGCGTTAGAAACACTTGTTTTTTACTGCAAGTGTTGCATGCTCAGCGCGGTGTGGTAAACGCTACGTTGCTTAGAATGACCTATGTATACCTTTTCTATAAGAAAGACACACATACAAAATATTGATGTGTTGTTATGGTGCCTCATATTTGCTGTAATTGTTTTTTAATTGTCAATCAGACAAGTATGAACGCTGAATCTTGAGCAATATTGGTGGGCGCTGCGGATGGGATCGGCTGTTTGGAGTATTGTTTGGCCAATTAGGTGCCGTTTAGGGTACTGTTAAGAGTGGACAAACGAACAAATTTGCAGACAGACAGATAGACGGACAGACCAGAATTTTTTTATCAAAGGTCTCCAAGAAAGACTATCGTCTTTAATCACGAGCATGGGGTCCAAGCCTGAGCAAATGCATTGTTCTGTTCACTGTTTTTTAACATTTTTCGCGATTTCCATATTTCACATGGCTGAGGAACAGTTAACACAGGTAGGCAGTGAAAGGCGGTCGTTTAAAAAGTTCATTGCACTTTTTTGTAACTTTTAACTCAATTACATTATGTGCTATATCTACGGTAAATCTCAAGGGGGACACTTGCAATTGAAGTCCTCCGCAATCTGAACAAAAGGAAAGTCCGAACCCCCTCCCTCTAACTAACTGTATACTAGTGCACTGCATGTTTGATAATAAATATAAATATTTATGAAATACTTAAATGATGCTTCAGTCTTCAGGAGTTGTTAGGAACGTGTATCTGCTTCGAAAACACCAATAGCCACCCTAAACTAGCATTTCTTTCTGCTCCGAAGGCACTTAAGGCTGCTCCAAACCACCACTTTTTTATGCCCCAGAATCTGCTGCAAAAAGCAAAATGCTGCTTCCATCACTAAATTAGCGATGGACCACATGGCAAGGTTCTGTTTGGCGTTCCATAAGTCAGTTGCCAGACTTTTGGTCGGCGCGATGCGAGGCCAATTACCAGGCGAGACTTCCGGGCCTTCATGAAGTGCTTGCAAAAGTGCGGAAGGGGGTCTGGTTCCACCTCTTTCGTGAGCGGTATCGCCTAGGCGCGAAGAAGTTTCTCGAAGCCTGGCACCGACCGGTAGTTATATATAGTGAGTCTAACGGGCAACAAACTATCCGGCTATGATGGCGGAACATCTAGCAGCACGATTTGGCGAGGCATCACTCGCCTGCATGCCTTGTTGCTTAAGTCAACGCGTCCTCTAGGAAGATGCCTGTCGCTGAGAAAAAAAAAAAAACTGCTGCCAGACCCTTTCTCTCCTTCATTTTGAAAATCTTCTCTGTTCTCAGTCGCTAGCGTAACCTGTGGCGGACGGTGCAACAACGCAACATTTTGCATAGCCTTTGAAACAGTGGTGCACAGTTGCAGGTTTTATGAACAACTCTCGGCTGACGCGCCCCTATGGGCCTCAGATAAAAAACGCCCGTCGCCGTGATGGATGGATATGGCTGTACCCTTTAGATCGGGCGGTGGCTAGCGCTACCAAGCGTCGGTGTCGGTCGCGAGTGCCACCGCGCGGAGCTTGTTTAAAACTGAAGGCAGGCCAACTCCACTGGGAGCGCGAGCCATTCCTCAGGCATCTTTCTAGAGGAGGCGTTGCTTAAGTCCATCGGCGCGTTCATTCCGCGCTCGGACAAACGACCACACCCGGTGGTTTACAGTCTGCTCGGCGGCGCCCTCCTCCTCTCTTCTCCGGGAAAAAGCGGTGGGTGGATGAATTGATAGATAAATATGGCTGTACCCTATAGATCGGGTGGTGGCTAGCGCCACCAAGCCGTAATACCTAATGAACCAAAAACTAAATTTATTTTTTTTTTTCCTTTACATAGTGAGATTGAGGATTCGTACTTAGCAGTGAAGGTTCTAATTTTCACTCGTGCCTTGACTTTAGTCATCAATCAGATAACCTCCTTCTAGTTAATTCTACCCGCCCTCCCTGTCCATAAACCCCAGTGCTTTGAAGAACTCTGCGCCGGTTTCTTTGAGGCGGCGCGCCCCTTGGTGGACGCTTCCTCCTCCTCACTCGCTCCTCTTAGAGGGCGAGAACGAATGCACTCTTTCCCCCTCCGAGCTAAACTCGTTTCTCTC